CAGGAGGGGCCAGTTGCTGGAGAAGGATATCATGTTTGGTAAGGTGGAGGGTCAGAGAAAAAGAGGAAGACCCTAGCAAAATGGATTGGCAAAATGGCAGCAGCGATAGGCTCAAGTGTGTCAACAATTGTGAAGTTGGCCCAGGATTGGGCAGTGTTTTGTTTTGTTGTGCATAGGGTTGCTATAAGTCAGTACTGACTCAATGGCACCTAACAACAACAACAACAACAACAACAAAAATCTTTACAGGAGCAGAAATCCTCATCTTTCTCTTGCAGAACCGCTGGTAGTTTCAGACTGCTGACCTTGAAGTTAACAGTCCGACTTGTAACCACTACACTACCAGAGTTCCTACAGCCATCACATTAGGGGTGAGTTAATTAAATGTTTGACCAAATATGTTATTGTTGCTGTTGTTAAGTGCTGTTGAGTGAGTTCCGACCCATAGCAACCCTGTATAGGGTTTCTAAGGAGCAGCTGGCGAAATTCCAAGATGTTTGCTCAGGAGGTTTTCTTAGCAGTAATAACTTGTACCCACTGTTTGGTTGTGAAATATGTGATAATTTTCAAAGGTCAAAGGCCACCACTGAACATTAAACATTAAACAAAGATCAGTTGCAGTTAAACTAGTATGGAAACATATTCTAAATGTTATGAAGCATTGTAAAACTTGTTGCTGTTCTTGTTGTTAAGTGCAGTGGAGTCGGTTCCAACTCATAGCGACCCTGTATAGGGTTTCCAAGGTTTAAAATTTTCAATTGCAGAAAGCTTTATCTTTCTTCCACGTGGAATACCTAGTGCTTATCATAAAACATGAAAATTTGATGTGCAGTTATTTAACTTGTAGTTCCAACCTACCCTTAAATGCAGGGAAACTGTGCTAGGCAAAATTGTCTATTCATATGTTCATTCATGTATTTATTCAATGAATGCTTATTGAGCATACCTAAGTAACTTTGATGTTATTTAAAAAGGGATAAATTGAAAAAGAGATGTATGGATAGAATGCAAATGAAGAGAGATTACGTCAACTCTAAGTGTTTGTTCTCAGCAGGGACTCAAGTTTCCTATAAAAATTCCTTCGAAATTATAGCAGTCCCTCAATGCTCCGTGAAGATGCACAGAAGTGTCCAGGAGATTCCATGTACATTTCTTGTAGGTACAATTGCTGAAAATATAGCAGGAGGGCAAAGAAATAACCAACATCAATGTCAAAGCTACCAGTTCACAATGGACTGTCTGTAAATTTCACTATTGTGTTGTTGTTGTTTGTGGTCTGGTTGATTCCAACTCATAGTGGCCTTATATATAAGGTGGCTGGTGGATTTGAACTTCAGACCTGGTGGTGAGTAGTCCAGAACTTATCCTACAGTGCCACAGGTCAAATGTTCTTACTATTTCTAGCCAAATTTGAAACTTTGGAGGAATACTTATCAAAATAATTTTGGTAAAAATTTGACAAAATTTGTTGAATTGAAAATGAGTATGAAGCACACTCATTATCTTGAGTGAAAGTAATTTGTGTTTGTGTACAAATGGAGAGATGTGGGACTCCAAGTCTTGCATCTATTTTGAAATCATAGGTGAAGGTTTTGACAGTGTGTACTAATTTCCTACCTCTCAAATGGCTTAATTTGGAGATCTCTATTGCTAAAAATCTTATGTGTGTGTGTGTGTGTGTGGGCCCAGTGTCCTGCTTCTTTGACAGAAAGTAAGAGTATTATTCGTGAGGTTTTGTAGAGTACTATTAGTAAGAATGCTATGGAGATGGGCTAAGGCTGTTGTCTAGGGTCCCCACTGCTGTTGAATTGATGCCGAAGCAGAGAGGTCCTATAGGACAGAGAACTAAGTGCTCCATAGTTTCCAAGCCTGTAAAATTTGACAGAAGCAGACGTCTACATCTTTCTTCTGAGGAGTGACTCCTGGTTTTGAATTGACAACCTATTGATTAGCAGTTGAATGCTTTAACTGCTTTATCACCGGGACTTTCATCTAAAGATTATTGTTGTTAAGTGCCGTCCAGTCTGTTCTGACACATAGCTATCCTGTGTAGGATTTCTTAAGAGTGACTGGTGGGTTTGAACCACTGACCTTGAGGCTAGTTGTGTAGTGTTTATCTTACAGTGCTACACTTAGTAACTTAAATTAGTAAAGTAAGGCTTTAAAGATAATTAAGGTAATGCATACTACAAGGAGCCGTAGTAGTAGATTACAAACTGGGCTGCTAACTGAACGGTCAGCAGTTTGAATCTACCAATCTCTCTGAGGGAGAAAGATGACGCTTTTGAGTCCATAAAGACTTACAGCCTCAGAAATCCTTTGCAAGGTCACTATGATTTGGAACCAACTCGAGGGGGTCATACAATTATCACCATATTTCTACATTATTTAGATAGCTGTTCAGTTATTTAATCCAGAAGTGGGTTGATAAATTAAATTAATTATTTCTGGACTCCACTGTATTTTCTATGCAAGCACAGATACTAAATGAAACTTTTAGGGTAAATTTACAAAAAGTGAACAAATGATTGCTAATCAGACCAAAATTACTAGATGGTACCCAGCTACCATTTCTGGTCATTGTGAGCATGACCACAGTAGATGGATCCTGACAGAAAGAGATAAAAATGTGGAACGACTCTCAAGTCTCAAAAAGTCTAGATTTACAGGACAGGTTGAGACTAGAGGACTCCGCAGAACTATTCTCTGAGATAGTCTTTAAGGAAAAATGATTACTGGATATATGGAGTAGACGTAGATAAAGGACATTGTAGTAGGGGTTACTGTGCCATACAAAAGAAAGGGAAGGGAATCCAAGCATTTTGGGATTGCTTATAAAAGACTTTCATAGTGGTTACGAATCAGACTGCTAACCTCAAGGTCGGCAGTTTGAAAGTACCTGTTCCGTGGGAGAAAGCTGAGGCATTCTGCTCCCGTAAAAGTTACAGCCTCGGAAACCCTGTGCAGGGTCACTATGAGGTGGAACCGACTCCATGGCACTTAAAAACAACAACAAAAGAAAAGACTTTGTTTAAAGGGCTATATCAGAGGCCTAGTGTGGTGCTGCGGGCTAATGCTCCAGATTGCAAAGTTGTTTGAACTGCAAACAGTTGGCAGTTAAAGCTCACCAGCTGCTCCTCAGAAATCCTGTAAAGGGTCGCTATTAAGTCAGAACCTACTCGATGGCACTTACCAACAACAACAAAGAGCTATATCAAATATGTTGATAAATTAGACTTGAATGCAAAACAACAGTATTTATCTATTACCTAAAAAAAACCTGATGACCATTATAATAAAAATATTTATTATAAAAATGATCACATATTTCTGCACACATATTAAAGACACAAACACAGTTTTACATTAATAAATTAAGGAGACTTGAACATTCAGTCTCCACCCCCTAGAATCATAGTGCTTTTCCATGGATTTCACAGTTACCAACATGGGATTTTTCTATTTGATGGAAGTCCATTTACATGGTTGATGCTATACGAACATCTCTTTAGAGTTTTAAAAATAGTTCACAGTGTTTAGGTTAATTCATTAACTGCTTTAAATCTTTGGTAAATACAAATAGTTATAGGCAAAAAAAATCTTTAATTCAGATTTCAGTAAGAACAAACAAAACCTGAAAAGTCTAATAACCTATTACAAGTAGTATTGTGTAATCAATAAATGTGGGAGCCAGTGTCCTAAGATCATAAAAATCACTGATGATAAAATCCCAAATCCACAGCCAAAGGTCTGTAGTGTCCACATCTATTACTACAGTCCACACAACACTGGGCCATTCAACAAAGTTCAACACACAAACAGTACTGGTTATTTTATAGCGCAGAAAAGTCTACTTCTTTCTATATTCCAATTTAAACATGTATTTGACACAGAAGAGCATCTGGTCTCATCTGCTATCTTACAGGAGTAAAGCATTTCACGAAGCCATACTATTTTTGAAAGACACCAACAACTCATCCTCTTGCCGAAAATGTCTCCATGAGACAGACTATGGATCGTTTCTCCAAATTCGTGGGAAAACTGGCAAAATGCCTGCCTATTGCTTTCCAACTTGTCTTCCTTTCTTCCTGTTTTCATTCCTTTTTCTTTCAGAGTACTCATTACGACTGGCCTGTCAGCCTGTATGGTATATACCTTTATTCCCTTCAAAATATCATATGCTTTACAATTTTCATTCAATAGCTCTCAATCTCAGTGATTCACAAGGAAATCCTGGCATTAAAAACTCTTACTTCCAGGCTATTGGTTAAAAATACTTCAAAAATTATTTAAATCCTAATATTCTTGAGATGTTAAACTCTTACAGTTTTGGCTTGTTTTTTTTTTACAAACATGTTGATGATGGAGTGTACAAAGTATAATTAAATATATCAAAAATACCTCTTTTTAAGCCTAGGAAATAGATGCCTTTGGATTACAACTATCGCAGGGTAGAGTACAGCCCCTCCTACAGTTAGGTTGTGAATACATGTTTTCTTTCCCTAACACTGGGTTTTCCAACCCAGTGTTCCATTAATAATAATAATAGTAGTAGACACTGTTGCTATCACGTTGGCAATTCTCTCCCTTTAACAACCAACATCCTGAATTGGGTGCATGTTTTAAAACTCTTCCAAGACTAGGCATCTTTCAATATGTGTTCACTTTATGAGTATGAATACAAAAAGCAGCATAATAAATGAACTGGATTGAAAAGAATAGGGTTTCTTTTGAGATTTTCATATGCCCAATGCCTCAGCTGTAAGATATTTTTTATTCTTTCTTCCTCATTCAAAGTGAATGTCATTTTTGTCACCAGCCTCTTTGCCCTAGGGCACATAAGTATATAGAAAACGTACAGCTACAAACATTTATAATCACATAGTGTAAACTCAGCCCCACTCCTTTGAAAGGCAGGAAAATGCTGAAATATAGACACATAGTATTCAATAAGTATCAGTATTTATGACATCAATGGAAGTCTAAAATTTCAGCATGTTGAAACTATTAACCTTTGTCTTCGCATTCATTCTTCTTCCCAGTCTTTGGTAAAAAGATGGGAAGCTGAGGGCTATTTCTTCTTCAGGATTTGATAGAAACTTAAGAGCTACTCTAAATGAAGTAAAATGAAGAGTTGTTTAATGCCTGTAATCGAGCACTACGTTTTTCCTAGGTCACAGAAACAAGCCTCTTTCCTTGTCACTCAGTGGTCTGATCAAGGAGTTTCTGTTGCTGTTGGTTGTTTGTGAGGAAACACACGTTTACATGCAAACATTCAGGAAGCTGCACTGGCGTAGAAGCACTTTGATCCCTTCAGTGTCATGGTGTCCTTCTTCACACAGCCACGTCTGCCTTCGCTAGGTTCTTTGGTTCTTTACTGGGAATACACCAGTCGTCAGCCTCAGTGCTCATCTGATAATGTTTAAAAGCTGACTTGTTAAAAACTGGGAGTTTTTCTACAGACTCTGAAGATAAAGCCTGAATGAAGGGAGGAAAAGCAAATATCAGACCAAAGAAATTATCCATGCCATAATTTGTACTTGATGTGATTATATAAAATAAATGAAAAGGTAAATTTTTAAATATTCAAATAAATGCATTTAATTGATCTAGCAACCAAGTAAAATCGTTCACTGTGTGCTAGGCACTGTGTAAAACAAAATAAGTAAATATTAGTGACACCCTATAGGTGCTAAAATCATAAATATCCGATTAGAAATGGTAAAGTTTATCATTTTATCCATCTCCCTTGTTCCAATACTATGGCACTGATGGAGGTGACCAGCCAAGCTATTGTTTCCAGACAAAGTCTCTGTATCTATGATAAAGTGAGAACCCTATTCTGATAATATCCATCTATAAAAAGGCTCTTTCCCAACAGTTTGAAGACTTTGCTTATTTAAGGAATGAACACATTAACTAATCCAGATGGTCAGAGGCCAGTTGGCAAATAATTTTAATGTACAAAATGGGAGCTTGGAAGCTCAATGTTTTAGCAGTTAATATTTGCAAATGTATTTATGGTTGAAATAGTTGGCAAATGATTAACAGAATCAGGATAGTGACCTTAAGAAATAAATTGATACTTTATCAGAAATAGAGAAAAACATGCATCAAGTTTTGAAGTTTAGACAGGAAATGCCTGACATCCCACTGATAGTTTGTGAATAGTCAGTTCTCCTTTCCTTGTTTTTCTAATAAGGTCAATTTACGGTCTTGAGTATCTTGATCTCTGCTGTTTTCTAGACTGGAATATTATTAGCATATATTCCCCACATGTTAAGTAGCACACAAGGGCAGCTATTCTGACAGATGCCAAAAGGAGTTGCTTTAAAAATAAAAAGTTCACATGAGGATATCCTCACTCTAAAACCTTGGTAGCTTGCTCCTTGAGAAACAATTTTGCTTCCCCAGGTGCAGGTAACCTGTTCTAGCTTCTTCTTCAGTAAGAAGTCATATTAAGTGGTACATCTACACACATCCAAACATAAAATAAAATAACTCGTGGTCCTTATTTTCATTAACCCAGTTTGTAGAATTCACTATGAACCACAGAATTTACAAGTGTACAAAAGCAGTCTTTTAAGAAATATTATTTTTCTGTTGAATTCAAAGAATACCTTTAAGTAGATGATAGCATCTGTTCCATATCCTGACAAAGAGTAGAGATTCAGATCTCCTTGAAAATACTTGGCATATAGACGAGAAATTGGCAAGCCATAACCAAAACCAGCCTAGAAAGGAAAAGAAGATTGGTAAAGACATTTTGTGATCATTGGAACACAAAATGTAACAAGAAATTTATTACCCTCAGTGATATCTAGATAAATATCTTCCACTTCCCACCAGAAACCTGTTATAGATTCGGTTCACCAATTTCAGTTTATCATTTTTATTTCATATATCACACATATCTAAATATGTCCTTGTAATCTCCATTTATGTAATCTCTTGCAAGCCTTATGTTGTTGTTGTTGTTAAGTGCCGTCAAGTCAGTACCGACTCATAATGACCTTGTATAGGGTTTCTGAGAAGTGGCTGGTGAGCTTGGACTGTTGATCTTGTGGTTCGAAGCAACCTTACAACCGAGCGCATTAACCCACAGTGCCACACCAGGACTCCAAGCCTTATGTGGTGATGGTAGTGGTGCTGGTGGTGGTGATAATGTGCCGTGGAGTCGCTTCCAACTCAAAGCTACCCTGTGACCCTGCATAGGGTTCCAAGGCTGTAAATCTGTACGGGAGCAGAAAGTCTCATCTTTCTCCTCTGGAACAACTGGTAGTTTCGAAGTACTGATCTTGAGACTAGCAGCCCGATTTGTAACCACTATGCTACCAGAGCTCCTTCAAGCCTTATGTAGCTAGGATGAATTTAGCCATCTCATTGTTCTTACCAAAGGAGCATTCCGGGAATTATCCATCACAGGTGTTGGTGCAGTGGAGTAGGTGTAACTGAAGAGTCGGTCAGTGATCCTCAGAGGAACACCACCTCCTCTGTCTGAAATCTGAAACAAATGAAAGCATCCAAGGTACAAACACACAAAACACACAGTTTGCATTTTGTGTACATTAAAAATATACTGTCTTCATTTAAAACCATTTGGTATACATGACTTTGACCTACTGTCCCAAACAGAAATCTCTATTATTATTGACCCTTTTCAATTATTTCAAGAGAGACCCAAAAGATAAAACAGAGAATGGTTACCTTAATTGTTAGGTCTTCTTTTCCCAACACAACAATCACTTCAACTGGTGTAAGAGAAGGCCATTTTTCCTGGTGTTCAACTGTTGCCCTCATTGCATTCTACAGAAAACCAAACCATAAGGAATTCAATGGCAGAAGAATGAGGAACAACAAATAATTGTTTCTTTAATGCTTTAAATAAAAGTAGTACGAAGGGTAATTCAAAGTGCCTATTTGTTTAAGTTAGTAGTAAAACAGCTTTGTAAATAGCCATTATGAATGTGTCATATAGGATGTGTAATGAAAAATACTAATTTACCATGTAATGCATCTCTTGGGAGTAATGTGTAATGGAAAAACAATTCTGTTAGCTGTCAAATTCTTATTTGCAAGCTTAATTTAAATGAAGAAATTGGTTTTTATAGTACATTTCCTAGCTCTCCCTTTTCTGCCTTTCCATTACATTTTACATCCTAGCACCAAAGGCTATTACACAACAAATGAACAGTGAATCATTGAACTAATTTGTTAGCTTTTATAAAATTTGCTGGGGAAAGGTTATTACTATTTAAAAGGGCAGTAAATAATTCTAAATTAAATTTCAATTTGCATTTGATTATCATCTGGCAAAATAACTCTACAAGTTGCACTATTAAATTTAAAAATAAATCTGATCAAAGAATCTATCACAGAAGAAACTAAACCAAGTTTTCAAGCAATTGGAAGTGTCGCCTACAAATAAACTCTTGGTTTATTTAACCCATTTTCCTCTCTTTCTTTTGACAGGTTATCTGATTTTTGCTTTCTCTATAATATCAGGTTGTGTCTATCGAAAGTGAAATAAAATAGATGCTTGTAGTACAATCAATACTTCATTGCATCAATACTAGAGTGAATTAAGAAGTAGTAAGTTCTGGAAAGAGTTCCATCAGAATTAGAGGCAAATATTACTATTTTTAGATCCATTTGTCTCCAGCACAGAGGATTTTTGGGGATCATGCAAAAACTTCAGCTGGTTTTCTACTTTTTGGTGTAAGCACAGGATTTTAGTTTGGTCTTACAGCTCATCAGAGAATTCGATTCTTAGCACCTGACTACTTCAGGGCTTCAACTTTAGCATCGCTTAAAAGCTTGTTAGAACTGCAAATTCCTCTACGCATTGAGTCAAAATCTCCAGGGAAACACTAAAAAGAAGTGTGTGTTGTAGCAAGCCCTCCAGGTGACGGAAATGTACACTGAAGTTTGAGAAACACTGCCTTACACCCTTGCTCTAGCAGTTCAGTGTGGAGCGAACCAGAAACATTATCTCATTAGACATACAGAATCTTAGTCCTGTCCCCCAGCCACCAGGCCTACTGAATCAGATTCTCCAGTTTAACAAAACCATCAGGTGAATCATATGTACTTTTAACTGGAGGAACTGTTTGTCCTCTGAGTCTATCGAGACTCAGAATAGACCATGCCATGTGTCTCGGTTTGGAGCTGGACCAGTCTGTGGGACTGGAGGTAACAAGGTCTCATTCATTGAAGCATTCATCCCATGACCTTCATTAATGAAACCATGAATGACTAGGGCTTTGTTGGATACCAAGTCAAACAATGAAAACATCTTCTCAGCTCAAAAGCATGAGATAACGTGAATCATATTGTATCTTCACCAATACAAGTTGATGCTTAAATGAGCTGCAAGTCCCCTTTTAAACATTAATTGTGGCTTCTTTCTCTTAGGAGCACAGAAGGATGCTTTGGAGAAGGTAAGAAGGTGGCTATTTAGTAAGGAATGATAAAGGAAATAAAAATAAAAGACTTGAGTTTCTATTTAAAGATAAAATTGCAATTATGAAGTCTCTTACCTTGAATAGTTCAAAGAGCATGTGATGAAGGTGAGAAGGAACGTACACAATGTGAATTGGCTGACCAGGATGTTTTCCTAGAAAAAGAAAACTCATTAAGAATTGTGAAATAAATATTGCATTAAAATAAATCCCTGTATATGTTTATTGATATTTTAAACTTACACTGTTTCAATATTTCTCATTGTTCTCACCCAAATTCCTACTCTGGAGCCTTCACAATTAAACAGCAACAACCATGGGGTGATTTTCAAAGTGCTATTATAGTTACTGCCTACAAGTAATGTTTGTATTTCCCTGCAAATGTATAAAGTAAAATAAAGTGTAAAACAATAGTACTACTATAAATTAGATTATATGGGTTATTCCTATTTACTATATTTTTATACTGAGCAACTCCAAGTTAAGCTTATATGCATTTCAAGATAAAAAAAAAAAAAAGTTAAAATTACTGTGTTTATAGTACAAAAAAACAAATTAACACTAGCTATAACTTTCATACTCTCAACACAAATAGCACATCAATTTATTTTAATAGTTACACCAACCAAATATTAAATTGTCTATGCTAAATATGCTTAAATTTCACCCAAAGGCTAAGGTAAACAGAGGCACTGAAACCTCATAATTCTGCTTACAAAGAAAAATAAAATTCTTATTCTTCAGTGTTCTAGGCTTTGGCAAAGTTTGAATGAGAAAACATAAGGCATAATTCCCTCTTTATTTTTTAAACAGTTCAAGCAGTTTATCTACAAGTTTTACATAACAACTCTATTTCTGCTTAGAGATACTTTTGAACATCTACTTGTACTTCTATGGCGCTGTGGGTTAATACGCCACACTGCAAAGCCATTTGAACTGCAAGGTTGGTGGTTCAAGCTCACCAGCTGCTCCTTGGCTACCCTATACAGGGTTGCGATGAGTCCGCACTGACTCGGCAGCATTTCACAACAATAGTAACTTGTACTTCTGCTTTTAGTTTAGCATTCACTTATCATTTGCATATGTGCAATCTAATTTTAGTTTGGTCTTAATTTGAACTATTTGCTTTTAATTCTGACCACTAACAAATATTGTTCCTATATAAATTAGTTTGAAAAGATGTTTGCTTTGAATGAAAAGGAAATACTTGAATTTAATAAATTGGGCAGCTTTGAGCTGCAACAGTCTTCTAGAACAAAATGGAATACGATAAAAAGAATGCCTTGAATTTATTATGTAATCACTGGATCGAAAGTAGGAAGAGTTTGTCTTCTCAGGTAATATAGAGTTAATGTTTTTGATACTTGTTCTGCTCCAAAATAATGATGATGTACTCGTAGTATACATTATTAATTATTTATTGTTGTGAGGGCTATGGTTAGGAATAGGGTTAAGCATTGTTGTTGTTAAGGAGCAGCTGGTGGGTTTGAAATGATGACCTTGTGGTTCACAATCCAGTGTCGACCCACAGTGCCACACCAAGAGTCACACAATAAAGGTCTTTCCAGGACTTATGAGTAACTTTTCTTTAGAAGAGTATCTGCTCTGCTCAGTGCTTTCCCCCACCTCTGGTCTCTTGGTTTCTCCATCTGCTCTTGTCATTCTTAAGGGTGCTGTTGGGTCAGTTCCAAGTCATAGAGACTTTGTGTAGGATTTCCAAGGAGTGGCTGGTGAGCTCCAACCACCAACTTTGTAGTTCAAACCAACCTTGCAGTCTAGCACATTAACCCACAGTGCCACAACAGGACTCCCCAAATGTTATAGGCACTTTGAATTAGTAAACCATCTTTCTTTGATCTGAGATATCAAAATCTACTTGCTAATCTAAATCTAAGATTACTTGTTCAAGCCATTCTTCTTTCAGAGTCATTATTAATTGAATACGCTCTGCTAGAGCTTCCCAGTTGAGATAGTTAAAAAAAATCTTGGCTTTGAAATTTTTAAAAAAAATGTGTACACATTCTAGACAAGTTTAGAAAGGAAGAAAGGAACACTGAATTGTTTTACATTTATAAAAAGCAGTCCTACTTGGAGAATACTGAATTTAGACTGGGTATAAATATATTTTATTTATAGCTTACCATTCACTTGTGTGAGTTTTAATTCTGGTGATGTTAAATAATACTGATCACAAAGCATCTTTGAGCACTCAAAGGCATCTAGAATGGAAAAAAATCATTTCATTACAATGAAATAAATTCATGCCATGTAACAATTAAATACGACATTTAATCTAAAACATTCACTAAAGTAAATATAGAAAAAAATGCTTTTGTAATATTTGACTTGAAGAAAAATTTAAGACAGTATCTAACAGAACAGAAATGTGTGTACTTCAGAAATCAAATACAATATATAGGAACATGGCATATTGGTCATTGGTGTTCGGTCTTTTATAATATAAATGAGTGTCTAAACTCGTGTCTCTCAAATATTTTGATAAAAATTTTATAAAATCATAAAATTCACAGAGTCACATCAATCATATACTGCACATTTTCTATGAGGGAAATGCAAAAGTCTGACATTACCTTGAACAACAGCGGCCACATCACAGTTTGGATCAATACTTCCAATGTGGGTTGGGTTTCCTGTCTGTGAGTCACTAAATATAAGAACTGTTAAAAAATAAAAACAAAAATATCAACACATCAGGATAATAATTATTAGAGCTCTTGCATGAGAGAATGTGACCTACCAATTACTGAAACATCTAGTTATAGTATGGTTTGTATTCTACACCCATCTCTGTCTGATGGTCATGCATTAACTTACTGTGTTGGTTCATCAGCATACGGGTAGAAATTCGATTCATGTAAAATCGATCCAAGAAATACTGAAGATTTTGATTGGTGACTGGGTCAACAGTACAGGCATCTTTATACTCGATGATTCCTTGTGCCATTGTAGGGACTACATTGTGGTGTCTATTCCGAACTTTGACAAGTGTATCTATAAAACTAAGCCATAACATTTATAGTTAAGGATAGCTCACAATAAGTTTCACTCCCTTATATGTCATAAATTACTTCAAAGAAGGCTAAGGTTCTTTTCAGAGCTTTAAGCAAATCAAACAATAAAATATTAGGGTAAAGCTTTATTAGAGTTCTTACTATACACTTTTCCACTATACTAAAATAGTTTTATGAACAGATTTTATTTCCTTGCTTCCAGAAAAAAGAATCTAGATCTATAATGGAAGCATTCATTGTAGATGTTCATTAAATGTTAATAAGCCTTTACTTTAAAAATTAAAATTGATATTGAAATTAATGCTAGAATAGCATCCTGGAAAAAACATTTCAAATCTCATGTCATATTTAGAAAGGAGTCTTTTTTAGAGAGAGAACTATGAATTTACTTTGAAATGACCTGTTTAATCTCCAGTGACAATGAAATGTATTTAAATCATATGCTAGTAAATCCTCTTGCAAATTTAACACTATGACTAACTTTAGAGTCAAAAAGAGATTTCTTTAAATAAAAAATCAAATCCTTTACACATGTTCATACTTAAGCACCATTTGTAATGCTTTAAGTCTGCATCATCTCTAAAAAACGAGTAAGCCAAACTTTACTATCTCAAAGAGGGTTGTAATTTAATTTCTAGGATTAAACTTCCTTTAATTTAGTTCTAAAATCTTTGGAGTATAATTGGAAATCACTAAAGTTTTAAACATTTATTCCAATGCATAAATCTAGCTTACTCAGATAATGCTTTCTGGTCCTCTGGATTTTTCTCATGGAAGTCCACCAAATCCATCAGGCTCTGGATGTACCTGTAAAATGACAAGTGTGCTTTCAGTTTTAAAGCTGAAAGATACTATCAGACCTAATGGATGGGGGAGGGGTGGAGGGAAGGGGGGTGCTTTTTCAAATAGTTTGGAAAGAGAAAGTAAGCATTATGTTTTACATTAAAGTTATCTTTCAGCACATCTGGAAAGCAGTGTTTAAAAATAAAAAAGCTACAACTTTTAATGCTCAACTTTCCAATTTAAATTTTATGTTGCTTTAGTTCTTCCATGTCACTATTCAGTTGTCAGACTTTTTTACTTGGCAAATATTTTCTATTTCCAATAGCAAAAAACACTTAGAAATAAGTTTTTTAAAGTGTTATATTGATTTGTAGCAGACTAGAAGTCTTGAAAGTAGCAATAAGTACAACTGATTGTATATGTGTTTGTGGTAACAATTGTAAAGCCATGTAATACATATATTCTTGAAACAATGACCAAAATACTATGTAGCCAGTTGATTAGGCTGAAGCTCTTATATGAAATACTATAGTTATAGCATGACTTTTTTTTTTTCCCCCGGAAAATCTATTCCTTTGAGTTTCTCTACCCTCTTTTAATCTCAGTATTCTATGCGTTGTGGTTACAAATCGGGCTGCAAATCTTAAGGTCAGCAGTTCAAAACTACCAGCCGCTCCACGGGAGAAAGATGAGGCTTTCTACTCCCGTAAAGATTTACACCCTCGGAAACCCTGTACAGGGTCCCTATGGGTCGGAACCGACTCGATGGCACATAACAACAACAACAATAATTACATACACTGACTCAGAACTGGCTCTATGCCAGGTTCTGTTCTAAATGCTTTTTTATGAATTACCTCACTTAATTATACAAATAAAACTTTGAGTCATATACTTCATTCTTCTTAATAACAGACTGGAGAAGAATTAAGGCAAAGAATATTTAAGAGAACTAGCAAGGGTCCTCTAACTAAGAAGTGGTTAAATCTAGATTTGAACTCAAAGAGTTCACTGTGAATCGATTTGTTAAGTAACAAGCCTTTCCTAAAATGTTTTGGCTTTGGGTATAAGATTCCTTTTGCAATATCAATTTACTTAGAATACAAAGTTCAAATTGCATGTAGCATATGTGTTATAGTTCTTCTGGTAGTAAAAACAGTGTTGTAAAAGTATTTGTTTTTTCAGGGTTAAAATGTCTGTTTCTAACTTTGTAGCTGTCCTTATGATAAATGACCCTAAATTAATTTTTAAAATCATTATGTTTTTCAAAAGTATTTACTGTTCAGGTCACCTGTTTTCCAATTCTAAGAAATCATAATCAAATAACTGACTTAAAACTAGAGACTGCTCAAAAATGGTTTACCACTTACCAGCTTTTAACCAGTTGTACTGAAGAGGTGTTTACTAATGGATCAGGGAGAATATCAATCTCCTTTAGAATATTGGCTAGCCTTACAGGTAATTCTTGCCGCAAAAACGCAAAAGAAGTTCTTTCGCATGCATTTTCTGAACCTGTAATAAAGGGTAATTGTTTACTTTTTGGAGAAAAAGCATGGCTAATTGATATACTTTGATAGCATTAACTATTGATGAGCAAGCACACACAATTATATTTCATCTTCGGTTGGATTACTGTTTACAGATAATTGAGAACTGGAATCTTCGTTGTCATTTTCTTTCCTTTTAAAAAAATAACTATATATGAAAATTAGGAGCTCTGGTAGCGTAGTGGTTACGATTGGGGCTGCTAACCTCAAGGTTGGCAGTTCAGTTCGAAACTACCAGCTGTTCCCGGGGAGAAAGATGAGGCTTTCTGCTCCCAGAAAGATTTACAGCCTCGTAAACCATGTACAGGGTCACTATGAGTCGAAATCGATTCTACGGTACTTAACAACGACAATATGAAAAGTATGGCTTTCTTCTCCCTCTCTCTCTCTCTCTCTCTCTCTCTTTTTTTTTTTTAAAAGAAGCTGCACTTTTTAAATATCCCACAGCTCTTATTATTCATAAAAAAAGTTCCATGTCAACAACACAACTTCCTTTCCACTGCCACAAAATAGGAGTGGGGTGAGAGTTGTGATGTTTCCAGACTACTGATACATAACAACGCATTTAAACCTTGGAAGCTTTCCATATGAGATTACTGGAGCAATTGTGTCCTGAAGTAATGTAAATATATGAAAATGAGAATGGTAAAGACACAAAGAAATCTCCTGAGACTGCAGGGATGTACTCAATGGCGAGATGGAGGGTGGCTAAGGGATACAATTCTCAACTGGAGATGACTTTATAATATTTACATCTATGCTCGTACATCTTCTCTAAGAAGTGCACGCTGTTAAGGAGAGAATAAAGTTTCTAGTCCATTGTTAAACGGTCACTGAGCGTAAACAGCTATTTGGCAGGGCAAAAAGAAGATGATGAACTCAAAGCATCCAGCATCAGCGGGGCTGCAGGTGGCTTTTACCTGCGGACACACATTGCCAAGAACTCAAATCAAGGAAAGAACAAGGGGCGTTGGCGTCGAGGCTCCGGGCTCAATCGCAAAATGGAATTCAGTGGCTTTATCAAAGATCCTTTCCTCCTAACAAACACCATATTCTCCCCACCCCACTTCACCCCTTTCAGGCCCTATATCTGAATGTAAGTTAAGGCAGTGTTCTTGCCCAATGCACCCACCAGGACCCTGAGCCCCGCTCACCAAAGTCCAACAGCTGCTTCATGGACAGCGGGGATGGGCTGTAGCGCGAGAAATGCTCGACCTCGCGGGGGACCAGGCCGGCGCTGCTCAGCGAGCCGGCGCTGCGCAACACGAAGCGGGCCGCCTTCATCTTGAGCCCACCTGGCAGAGGCTAGGGCTAGGTAGGGCGACGAAGGTTGCCCTGGGCAAAACCAGAGTGTGAGGAGAGCAGGTGCGCCGATGGGTAGCTACCCTAAGTGCGGGTTGGAAGAGCCAAGCAGTCAGTTTTCTTAGCGCAGTGGCTCAAGACTCAAGGTCGCCTGTGGCCACCCCCGCCTTACGTCCCAGTTTTATGAGTCTTCCTGCACCCTCCCCACCAACCCGAATGGGGCGGAGTCATTTGGGACTTGGAAAGGCGTCCTAAACTTGGGGCCGTGCCAATCACTTCAGAGAGAGAACTTTGGGCCCGCCCTGGCCCCGTCCCCGAGGAGTGGCCTGGCACCCTGGCCTGGTGTTGTTAGGAGCCTGGGAGGGGCGAGATGGGCGTAAGAATGCTGAACGGACATCGGGAGGAACGTGCGCTCCAGATCAGAGACTTGAGACAAGGTCCTGGGTCTCCTGGGCCGGGGCCCGCCGGGACTCGTCCTTGTTTACAAGTTTGAGGCTCGCTGAAAGTCACGCATTCCTAACCAGAAACTATTTCCAAGAATCTGGGCTCCGGGGGCTCATTGGTCCGTGCGCAGAGCGGGACTTTTACAGTAGCCAATTGGCTACATGCAAAACTATGAACTTCCTTACCATTGGGTTACGAAGGGAATCAACAGAGAGTTCTGGCACCTTTCCAGGAACATACAGTACACAAGAACTGGGTGTTCCAGTTGCTGAGACTTGAGAAGCTGCCCAAATATATGTACTTTTTCCTGTGGCCATAAAACAGCGACAACACATCGCTGTATCTCCAGCAATGCATTCTCATCATTAGATTTAACGGATAATTAAAACCAAATACAATAAACAGAGAATTTAATTGTCAGTTTGACTCACCTTTTTCTCTCAGCTGAGAAATTCCTCATTTGTTCTCATATATGAAAAGCCTTTAATTCAATTGTTTACCTAGGACATTGCATTCTGCCATTAAATGTCCAGCACACAAATCTGCTCCATGAGGTCTTCCCTGATCACTTCCCCAACTTTCTTGCAAATGGGGTCTTTGCAATTATATTGCAGCATTTGGACTTCTGGTGTAGCGCTGTAGAGTCAGCACTGGACTGCAAACCACAAGTCAGTATTTCAAACCCACTGGCTACTCCTCTGCAGCCCTATACAGGGTTGCTATAGTTCAGAACTGACTCAACAACATTTAGCAATAATAACTAATGTTCTATACCCCCTTCCCTGCACCACTTAGGTGATCAGGACAGGTACCACATCCAATCCTTTTTTTGCGTCCTATCTTTCTTGTACTCATTATTTGTTAAATCAACACAGTGGTTCAAACATTAAAAAGCAAGCAAACATTTGGAATGGACTCCAACTCATGGCCATCCCATGTGTGTCAGAATATAACTCTGCTCCACAGAGTTTTCGACTGCTATGATGGTGTGGCGCTGCCAGGTTGGCAGTTCACACCCATCAGCTTCTCCTTAGAAGTCCTATACAGGGTCGCGATGAATCGGGAAAGACTTGACTGCACTTAACAACAACAATACATTGCCTGGTGGCATTATAGGATAAGCACAAGACTACTGACTGTAAGGATAGCAGTTCAAATCCACCAGACTTTCTGCAAAAGAAAGAGGATTCTTTCTACTCCCATAAAGATTTACAGCTTAAAAACTCTATACATGGTCTCTCAGAGTCGGAATCAACCTAATGACAGTGAATTAGTTTGGTTTGGTTGCCTATAGATCATCCAGAATTTGTGACTTTTCTCTGTGCTTTGACCTATCAGAAACAACCCAGAAAGACATTCCACATTCATATTCTTCAATAATGATGGTGGAACTTGGATTCTTAAGAGACCTTGAAGGATGATGTTGGAGCGAAAGAAAAGATTCCAGAACCACCTTTATGTGAGGCAAAACTCAAAAACGTACTCAAGCTGAAATAGATACGGAAACATAGAGTCACTTACAAAATGCACAGAGTCACATTCAGTATATTCAAGAGTCATATTTGCTTGTGTTTAAGGAGTGCTGGTGATGCAGTGGGTGGGGCATTGTGCTTTAACTGCAAGGCTGATGGTTCAAACCTATTAGCTGTTCCATGAGAGAAAAATAAGTTTGTCTACTCCCGTAAAGATTTGCAATTTCAGAAACTATGAGTGGAAATACACTCGATGGCAATGGGTTGTGTGTGTGTTTGTGTAGTTTTGTTTTCACCATGTGTTTGAGATCTGAAATAGACAAAAAGTATATATTGCAAAGAATTTTCCTTTTTAATCTTCAGAGGAAACACATTATCAATTATACATTGTAGGCAAATCTCGCATAGGAAAGCCCCATTCCCATAGTCCATTGGCCTGACTGCTCCATACTACAGAATGATTAAATCAGGTGAAGTCATATGATGTTCACAGAGATGGCTAAGGGCTAAATGCTAACTGAGGTCACCAAACTTGTGTCTCCATGTCATCCCATCCAGTAATATTTACCAGGCTACTCTAACAGTGCATTGCATTCTTTTAAGTCATCTTTCTATGCCGGGAATGGTTGTTATAATTGGCAACATTTATGGTTACTGGGCTGGAATGGTAAGGTCAAGTTGTTTACCCAGTTGGCCAATATTCTTTGTATTATCATGATTAGAGAGTGACCTGGAAAGAGAGTGGCACTTCTATTCCCAAGCGGACCACAGATCTTGGAGGTGATCCAGTTGGGACAGAGGTGAAGCAAGAAAATGTATTTGGAGACAATGAGTATGAGCAAATCTATGCATTCGTTGAGTCTAGGTAAATCATGAGAGGACTATGAAATGATGTGGCATCAATGGAGAGGCATTCAAAACCTTCAATATGTAGTCACGTTGGAACACAGAGTGTTTGCTTGAGGCATTTGTTACCTAAACTTTCAGGGGCATTCTTACTTAGCTACAACTTTGCCAGAGGGTGGCAATTTGGCAAAAAGCATCAGGACCATAAAAAAGTTTAAAACTCTGTGATGTATTTTTTTTCCATGTCTAGGAATATATTATAAGGAACTAATTAAAAATACGTACCATGGGAACTCAAAAAGCCATGATGGAAAAGCTAACAGATTCAACTATAGAATATTTAAAGTTAAAAAATAAGTAGAAGTCTTGGAGAAAATATTAGCAAAACACATAATAGACAAATGGTTTTTTAAAAAGAAATGGTTGTTTTAGCAGGAAACAAAATAATCAACATCTGTTCCCTCAGGGAGGTTATAGATTTGTTTTTTTTAAAAAAATTCAAAAGCAAATGGACAATGTTGTTGTTGTTAGGTGCCATCGAGTCGGTATCAACTCATAGTGACCTTATGCACAGCAGAATGAAACATTGCCCAATGCTGG